GGCAGTGTTTTGTTCTGTTGTTCATAGGGTCGCTATGAGTTGGTACTGACTCGATGGCACCTAACAACAACAACAAGCCAGAAGAACAAACAAATCTCTTGGAAGAAGCCAGAATGCTCCTTAGAAGCGAAGACAGACTTCATCTCACATACTTTGGACATGTTATCAGGAAGAACCAGTCCTTGAAAAAGACAACATGCATGGTAAAGTAGAGGATTTGAAAAAAAAAAAAAAAAGGGAAAACCCTCAATGCGATGAATGAATACAATGGCTGTAACACTGGGCTCAAGCACAACAGTTGTGAAGATGGTGCAGGTTCTGTTGCACATACGGTCGCTACAAGTCAGGACCAACTTATTGTGGTACTATGGGCTAATGCACTGGACTGCAAATTCACTTTGAGCCACAAGGTCAGTGGTTCAAGCTCACCAGCAGCTCCTTGGAAGCCTTATACAGGGTCATTATGGGTTGGAATTAACATATCACACACTTGTAGAACTGCATGGACCTGACAGAATTGAATTGGATTTGTAAGGACATCATAAATGAAGATATTGGGGATCCAGGGCTGACGATGGTACTGTCAGACAGACCTTCAATATTTTAAAACTATTATTTGGTGGTAGTTATGTGTCATGGAGTTGGTTCCAACTCACAACAACCCTGTACAGGGTTTATAAATCTTTATGGGAGCAGAAAGCCTCATCTTTATCCCACAGAACAGCTGATAGTTTTGAACTGCTGACCTTGCAGTTCGCAGCCCGATTCGTAACCACTACGTTACCAAAGCTCCTATTATTTACATACTATTAATTCATACTTGTACTTGAAATAGGAACTGAACATTGTCTGATATACTGCGGGAAGATGAGCCCTTCATATAGGAAAGCACTCAAAATACAACCGGAAAACAGCTGCCTCCTCAAAGCAGAGTTGACCTTAATGATGTAGATGGAGCAAAGATTTCGGACTTCCATTTGCTGATGGGGCACGAATCAAAATGAGAAGAAATAGCTGAAAACATGAAATATATTGTTGTTGATAGATGCTATTGAGTCAGCCTCCAACCCATAGCGACTTTATTTATGCACAATAGAACACAACACTGCCTGGTCCTGTGCCAACCTCACATTTGTTGCTACACTTGAACCCACTGGCTGCTGCCACTGTGCCAATCCATGTAGTCGGGGGTCTTT